GGAGTCTGAGGCTGAGCTCATACTGCAGGCAGGATGGCTTGCTTTACAACCTCCAAGACAGTTGGACAGGAATTTCACATCCGCTAGTTGAAAAATGAAATCACCAAGAATCAAAGCGCAGTTCTTCATGAGTCAAGACAATAATGCACTCCCTAGGGAAAGGCATTGGACCTGGTGTTTGAGATGCCAGAGAATCTGGTTAAGATGTTGGAATGCCTAAGTTAGATTTCCAGGTCTCACTCCTGGCTTGAGTTTCCTGCTAAAGGAGCCTGAGGGAGTTGTGCTGACGGCTCAGGTAATGACTTTAGACATTTGGGGAATGAACCAGCATGTGGGAATTCTCTCCTCTCCCACTTCCTCCTTCCCTCCCTCCATCTTGAATAAAGTCAAGTCCTTTAATACAAATCTTAGAGCACAGACCAAGAGGCCCAAACTCAGCAAATCACTGATGGCCTATGGCTAAGACTGGATTTGCTGCTTTTAAATAATATCAAGGCAGTTTCTGAATGTGACACTGGTTTCAAAAGAACAGTGTCAATTATTTGCCATGTACTTCTCTGAGCGCTTGTTCATACCCACCTGTTTAATCTCCATATGAGTACCAGGCATGTGAAGACATTCATCCATTTATTAGTAAGGACAGTCGATGAGAGAGAGAAAGCTTGGTAGCACTGGGACTGAAATCAAGGTACATACACCACACACACACACACACACACACACACGCATGTTGCTCTCTGACTGATGTGGACCCAGGGAAAGGGGAAGTGTTTGGCTAAATGATCTACCAGAAAAATTTCCTACAGTGTTCTTATGTCAACTTCTTACAGTAAGTTTGCCTTGTCCAGTTTCATCTGTTTATAATGTGCAATGTGTACATAGAAACAGAGGTGAGTGGAACTTATTTATGACAGAAAAGGAATATACATAAAGGAGGAGCTGTGAAACAGGGGGTGTACTTTACTGATTCTTATTTAACCAGAGATCATTCCTCCCACCTTAAAAAGGATGTTGTTTTTAAAACAGAATGCAAGAACGTTGATACCTTACAGAAGAACACTAAGAGGTGCCATTTATTAGATGGAATCAAATTAAGTTGACAACAATGTTCACAAGACACTCATTGTCCACTGTGTCCCCATTTCCTGCGGTTGCTTGGCTAAGCAGCTCATCTTTTAGAACTGTGGACTCTGTAGTTTGTTGTTTTTTCTCTCCTAACACAGGAATTTTGCTTATTGTTTCATCTTGGTTTTGCTATTCTCTTTTTTATTCCCTAACTTAAATCTAAGCTTGTTCTGTATTTCTGTCCCTTGATACTGGCATATATTAATGATCCATATGCCTTTGTAGTATCCCACACCTCCTTGTTATAACTTTATTACCATCAGCGTTTCATATTTTTCTGGAGTTATGTTTAATTCAAGGATATCTATCATAGTGGGTTATTAGGTTATGATGGAAAGGCCTGTATTGTGTTTTTTCTTTCTTGGTTCCTTACCATCAAATATGGTGTCTAAACATAGTCGACACCCAAAGGTATTGATTTTAAAGGGTGGATGAACATCATGCCATTTGTTCCAACAAGATGCAAATTTAGAAGATGTGTTCACTTAATTTCTTCTAGATGCTCTTGGTTTATGGAAAATACGTCAATGATGAATCTCCTGGGATGTGTATGATTAAGAGACAGTAGTGTCAGTGTTTGAAAACAGGTACCAGGGCTGCAGCACACAAACCTCCACTGAAGGGTGGAATCGGAAGGAAGAGAAAGCCTGTGTCACGTAGTTAACAAACCCACATGGTCTTGTTGGAGGATCTGGAATATTTCCCTATGGCTTCTCTAGAGCTTATGGTTATTTCTCCTATTTGTAACTCAAAGAAGCACCTTTAAAACTTTTTTGATAATATTTTGTAATATCCTGCCTGATAAAGCTCTCCTCTTAGGTGGCATCAAGGAAAATTTAGAGTGTTTTCTCCTCGCCTGTAATTGTTGCTTGGAAGAAGTAAGATTGAGCAGGTTCTGTCTGTCGAGCAAGACATTGGTCATAGGTGGAAAATCAGATACAATTTACAATGTCCTTACGCAGAGACGTTAGTATTTCCATTTCCTAGATTGAAGGTACAGAACCAAGAGATTCACCATTTTGGCAAAGTCTTACCACTGAAAACGGCAAAATTGCAACTGTGATTTAACTCCCTTTGATTCCATTTCTTTTTACATTTTAAATTGTGTAACTGCTTGGAATGACATCTTACTGGTTCATAAACAAAACTCACTGGATTTTTTTTTCTTCCCTCATTTTGTTAAGCTTCACTTGTCCTGCATGACAATTAAAAAAATGTACCTTTCATGGCAAGATCTTGATAAATAATTAATGAACCAAATAAACAAAAATGTTTGAAAGCATAAGTACATTTCTCTTCTTGCATGCGATGTTTGATAGTTTTGTCCATTATGCATTGTGAAAGTATATTTTATTTGTATAATATCTGAGACTCAAAGAACTAGAATATATTGAATTACTTGGTATATATAATTGGTCTATGTAATGTACCTAAGAACTATTACTTATTATAATTCTACCATAAATATTAGTGCTTCTGTCAAATGAGGTCAGGTAGTACCTACTGCGTCAGTCATGGTAAAAGTGATCACGATATAAGTGACATTCAAAATGACGTTCTCAGGCTCTTGTGGTAAGCTAGTTCCAGGTGAGCACTCCAGGAAGCAAACTCACTGGCACTGTGACTGCACCCAGATCTGTACGTTCACTTACTGTCTGTGTTGTTTTAATGATCCAGTAATTGATGATGGATCCATCAATGATTGCTCTTGATTTACACTCGGAATAGATTTTTTGGTTTTACGTTTTTGCAGACTTCTTCTAACGAGGTGCAAATAGGAAGAAACATACTACATAGATGTCACCTGACAATCAGTTTGATCGGTCTCATTTCTCTATTTGAATGGATATTAGCATCTGTCAAAAAAGATTTTGTGAATCTGTTCATCAGGAAAAGCAGGGTGGGGGTTTAATATCATAGACAAATGCTGTTTTTTATTACAGTCATCAACAGATCACAACAGTTAAGTGAAATTAAGTGCTCAGGAGTTGGCATAACTGTTTATGTTTCCTAGTTCAACTGGAGCTTTTAATGAGCTTACAAATATGAGGGTAGAAAAATGGCATTGTTTTCAGATGACAATATGCTCAAACAAGGTCCTGCTTGCTACATTTTGTATCTCTTTAATTTGAATTTTTCCAAATTTAAAATGTAGACCCAGATTTTCTGGATTCACATGACCTGATGGCCGTGTCTAATGTATTCTCAATGTGGAGAACGTGCTACTGCCTTAGCCTGTTTCCTGATAGGCAAGCCTACATAAAGATATGTAAAATGAGTGCACAGCTTAAAAGGAGAGAGAATCAAGTAGAGTTCTCCTAAAACATATATTCTCTGTAGAATTAGACACATACACACACTTGCACAAGAGAAAATGTGCAACTATCTTTAAAAAGAAAATGCAGTGCAAACTCTCATAAACAGTAAGATCTAGAATCCAGGCTCTGTAACATTGTGAATTTGTTGAGTTTGGCATGCTTCTACGGAACAAATGATGAGACAATTCCAATGGCCGTATTGAAAGAGGAACTTTGCAAGTCAAGGGGCTCATTTGACCTGGCTGCTTTCAAGGCCTTTGAGAAGCACCTCAGATGTCACAGTATAGGGATCCCAAAGTAGATTTGCAAAACAGGATACATAGTTCTCCATTCTTATATTTGTGGCTGTGAGTACATATATATGCCTACACACACACACACACACGTGGGGAGGGGGCAGAGAGACATTAACAGATGCTGTTGATTTTCTATCTTTGTTATAGAGTAAGTTCCTTTACACTAGCTGATATTTTTTTCTTATAATGTATATAGAAAATCTGAACATCTGAAGGATGTCATGTGAGACGACTGAGGATGCTCAGGGTGTCATGAAGAAAATGGGAGGTGGGCTGAGAAGATGAAAGTGACAATGGGACTGTTACTGTCCACGTCCACTGAGGCCCATCTGCCAAACTGGGCAATCGTCTCTCCCAGTTCTAGACTGGTCAAGGTGGAAACGTGAAAAAGACTCTTCCTAGAATCCTGATGTGGTTATTTTGCTGAATAGATTAAAAAAAAAAAAAAGGAGAGAGCTGGTGGTAGAAGGAAGAAAGTGAGTGATTCTTACCAGAGAGCATGCTCTTGTGATGTGATGCAGGAAGAAAGTTCTTAATGAGATGCAAAAAACCGACTCATAAGAAAACATTTAGAAAAGGAGCAGGGAGAGCAAATACTGGTGGCTGAGAAGTGAAATGTTTGGTTTCAACTTAAGGTCGTATTTGTGTGTGTGTGCAATGACAGTCTACAAGATACAACCTTGTTAACAGACTGGGGACTATTATTGTGTTGCCCTGTCGGCATGGTGACAGTCACAAAGTGGGTTATATTCATGTGCATATTTATAATATTTTCTACGAATGAGGTTAGACACTGCAGTAGGAAAAATCAAAATTAGCAAACATAGGGCAATTGGCACTAAAGAAACTGAATTGTGAGGCACCACTCACTCAGGCTACTTGTGATTTTTTATCCAGCTGATTGATTTGGGCCCTACCCCAATTTCAAATCATATGTACCCAGTACATCCTAAAGTAATAAAATGTCTTCTGACAGTAAAATTTGTAACCGTAAGCATCCTGAAGTAATGGAGTACCATTGTTGTAATACCTGTGTATGTGATATCTATGTATGACTGCTTGATTGAGAAGAATCAAACGTAGCAACACGTTATTTTATCTTCTTCAAATAAGTTGAATCCTAATAATTTCCGCATGTCCTTTCCCATTCACAGCAGGAGCAAAATCAGCGGCCTTGAAAGACTCCTCTGAAGCACCCCTGAGATTGTTACTGTTCTACCTGCTGTGCCATCCGTTCTAACTCTGTGTTTCAAATCCACAGAGAGTGAAGACGTTTACCAACGGCAGGTGCTATCGATCTCATGCATCATCTTTGGAATTGTCATCGTGGGTATGTTCTGTGCTGCATTCTACTTCAAAAGCAAGTAAGACCATTTCTCTCGAGTTGACTTGTTAGAGGATGTACTTTGTGTTTTCTGTCTCTGCTACAAGCAGAGGGAGCTTTTGCAATAGGCCAACCTACCGTGCAAAGATGACTTGGAATGTCTTGTAGACTTTTGCGGTTGCCTTCATACATGCTATTTGCCTCTGTGTATCTGTGTGTGTGGTTTATCTTTGCTGTACGCAATAATTACTCCTCTGAGGGATCAGGGACACTCTGTGTTCTTCATTCCAGTTAATAACTCACCTACAAGAAGGGCTCCATGTGTACCTGTCCCTAGGCCACTAAATCTTCTCAACAATTACTGTGCAGCTAAAGATTATCAACCACTGTGTAGCGTTTCTGATTGTGTTGAAGCAGTGTTCATATGGTTTTATCCATTGTTCCTAAAGGTGTTAGCCAGATGTGAAAATGATGCCAAACAAAATGTAGGTTAGTTCATCAGTTGCCATGCACATCTGAAAAATGCCCTCAAATTTCATTGGCCAACAAACCGGACCTTCTATAGATGAAAATTCTTGCTTTTTGACTTACATCCACCTGTGAAGCGTCATCACAAAGTTCGTGGGAAAGGTTTGGTATGAAAAAAAAACCCCACGAATTCAGACATATTTGTACAAAAATAAACTTATCTTTATTTTAATTCTCCACAGTTTTTGAACTGCCATGTATAATCCTGTGTGTATTATGGTTGGTGCTTCCCAGATAAACCTTGTGGTATTTCATTTATGTAAATGATGTAACCTTCACTTAAAACAAGAAATACAAATAAAAATATAGCACCTCCTTGTTTTCTAAGGCCTTAGGGAGATGGCACAGATATTGCCCCTACGGCATTCTCTATGGAGGTGCAGTGTTCGTTAACACTCACCATTTTCCCGTCCAGGTCTTGGGGCTGACTATCTACAAGGTGAAGGTTGAGAACAGATGTGTAAGAGGGGTCACACCCGGCAGGAAGGAAGAAAGGTCTCCCCTAAAGATCTGGCTATAGAAAAGAAATCGGTGATTTAACAATCTGCAAATTGCCATGAGAATGTGGTTAATCACTTATTTTTAGAATATAATCTGTAGTTGTGCCTCCTTTAAGTGAAAGACTAATTGGAGTAATTATAGGAAGGAGAACAGCTGCCTAACGAGAGGCTTCCTTCTTCAGGGTGTCCATCTCGGGACAGGAAAGTCACCCTGGCACCAACATCTCAGGGCCTCAGCGAGGTGTCTAGATGTGTAATAATGACACACAGTGTAGACAGACACCGGGAGTGGGGTAGGGACTTGGAGTACCAAGTTGTCTACTTCAGACACATTTATTGAAAACACATAAATATAGAAATAATGCAAATTATAACAAAATGCAAAACCTTTTCTGCGTGGAGTCATAGTTCTCATCAGAGAATCAGAGTGTATTTCTTCCATTTAATATAATATCCAGGCATGCTTATTTATCTAGTTACTTATTATTTTTTTCCTGAGAAGATTGTCACTTCTGTCACTAACCACCCAAAATCTACGTGGCTGAGAATAATACAAGTTTTTTTTTTTTAATGGCACCCTGCTATAGGTTTCTCTTGTGAATTCCTAGATTTCTACTTCCCATTTCCAAACCTTGCGAAAAACAGAGTAGATTGGTTCTGTTTTCACGTCCCCTAACTTTTGCACACATGATGAAGTTGTATGACACGAAATATGTGTGTTTTCTATTCGGAAGTGCTCACTCATTCCATAGTCTCAGGTCTGTCACTGATGTCTACATAAGTTTAGTTGAACTTCTGTCCAGCATGCTGGGATGCACTGATTTGCCCAGACATTGAGTTTTCCCCAAAACGCTCGTTATCTTGGTCATTTCTGTGCTGGTTGCAATAATCTTGGAGAAGCCACCACTTTCATATTTTCACTATTTTTTCTTCCTTTGGCATGTTCTGACCTCACTGGATAAAATATTGAAATAAGTAGAGCATCTGCTGGAAGCTTGACGGTAGATAGCCTGATGAGGCAGACATGAGGAACCCTTGCTTGAAACCAGATGATTTTGTGTCAGTTAACTGGGTCAATTCACTGTAAAAAACATAGTAAAAGAATTTGAACAGGTATGTTCCTACAGATAGAGCTAGAACTATTAATTGAACTTATTCGGTCTGGTTGGTAACATTTGGCATGGAAACGATAGAGCCTTTTAGGTTTTCTCTTTACTTTCAACTGATAAAAGAAGGAGAATGGGGCTGACTATAAGATTTTTTGGTGGGTTTTGGAAATGGAAGACATGATCGTGTCTAACATAAGAACTGGAGAGGAGATATTCTGGAAGATAGAGTGTATATTGGGTCATTATGGCATCTTGGAAGAGAGAAAGTGAAAAAAAAAAGAACAGGTATAATGTAAAATGGAGTTATGGCGCAACCTGCCCTGAGTGTAGGCAGCCACCCTCTGAAGCAGGAGTGACTCAATCATGGTACAGCATGCAGATGACCTCTGATGGGAATTCTGATACTGTGCAGTGGACATCTTAGTCTCTCAGGTGCCTGAAGCCAGATGTACAAAGTTAGCCTTCTCCATCCCAGGTTTCTTCTGACATCCTCCAGTTCCAGTAACAGGTCAGGACCAGGCCCTGAAGACCCAGAACCTTGTGTGAGCCTAGCCGGGCAAGATTACATCAGCCTCAGCACTATGCAGGTTTGCTAAGGCCGGTTCTGGAATGGCCTCACAGCCCAGCCTCTCCTCTGCTCCCAGTTGCTTCATTCCCTGTCCTTCCCTTGCACTGGTGTTGCTCACAAAAGCCCAACTAGTGAATGCCTTGTGTGTGGTCTCTGTCTCAGCGTATGCTTCCTCCACAATCCAATCTGTAACACTTCAAGCACTCCTTAACAACAGGCTGCTCTGCCGTGCCTCACTTCCATCTATAACACCTGTGTTTTGGCTTGCCCAGAGTGATTGCTCTCACAGGAGAGCAAAGGATGCTACTATCACAATCCAGTCCTCACCTCTGTTCCCCTTTGCTCAGGAAAACAAGGAAACTGGCAGCAAGTACATGCTTGTGAGAGAGGAGGGATAAGAGAGCATAAAAGTCAGTTAATTGGGCTCAGAAAAAAAAAAAAGACCACTTGGCTCGGGTCAAGATTTGAGTGAAAGGAGAGCCAATAGAATACAGGTTGCAAGGCGATTTAGGAAATGTATTCAGGTATGAGGAAAATTCTTTTAGAAGTTTATTTTTCCCAAATCTCCAGGGCTGCTCATCCCCCTGCTTGCTTTTTGAATGAAGCCCTGATAGGTTTTTTAGTTTCTTTGTGGTTCACTGTGCTTCTTAAAATGCTCACATGACAGACTTATTTAGATTATAGATTAGCTGTCAGAACCTAGGTAGATTATTACAGCTGGATTAAAGCAACTAAGCATGGTGGAGACAAAAAAAAAATCTCCCCAATTAAGTGAAAAGATGAAATAAATATTTCAGCAAGCAGAGAAACTTTCTCTGGCGTTGGAATTTCAAAGGGGTGATGAGACCCGGAGCGACCACTGCCCAGCAGGAAACACGGCTGACTTGCCAATGAGAGATGTAGTTGGGTCATTGATCTCCTTCTGATCAATATTCTCCTTCCTCTGCAACGAGCCTGTGACATAGTGAAAAGGACCAGAAATGAAAACCTCGTACGTGCTCATACATTAGTTGCCACAGGAAGCACATTGACAGATGAAGAAGCCAAAGCTGAGAGGTGTGCAGGAAATCATCGGGATGGCCAGACTCACTGAGGCAGAGCCGGGATTTGAATCTTATTTTTCCGTGATAGAAGAAGTCCAGGTTTTGAGAGTGCAGCCTACCTGGAGAAGTACATCGTAGGGGCTGGACATTGTTCATGGCTCATCCTGCCTGAGGAATTTGGAGGGAGAGGCAAGCTTCAAGAGGGATGATCGGACAGAGCCATTTCTAGGTACCTATTCTTGTGCTGAAGGAGCATCGCTGTGAAGGACCTGGTGGGAATGAGTGAATCCTTTTGGTATGGACTCTGAATGACCCTAGCAAGAGTCACTATATGTGGGCAAGCAGAATCAATTTACTTGAAGAGCAGAAACCTACAGAAACCTCAGCCTTCCCATTTAGATCCTGTGGGAATCTCTGCAGAGTGCCTTAGCTGATCCAAAAGGCGGTTGAGAATGTCCGCTGTGCATCCTGGTTGACTTGGCTGCAATCGAAGCTCTACCTCTTCCTTCCTGTATGCACCTGAACTATGACTTACCTCTCTTGTGCCTCAGTTTTCTCATCTACTGAATGGGTGTCCTCTCAGAGAATTATTATGAAGCAAAAATGAGTTGAAACCTGTAAAGCCCTGAAAACGATGCATGGTGATTACCATTGTTATTGTTAGATCTTTTAAATGTTAACTATTCTTAAAAAAAATGTTTTGGCTGTTAATAGCAATCGATAACCTATTTCTAAACAGTGAGTGAACATGTTTGCATGTTGTAGTTGAACAAACTTTGACAATCAGCTACACATGCTTGAATTGTACAAATGTAAGTAGAAATATGCAAGTATGTTCTAGGTCCTAACTTCAAGGTTTGCCTCTGGTCAGTTCTCCACATCATCTCCAATCCTTTGCATCTCCACATCATGCACCCATCCTAACTCAGCCTTCAGGGTTCTGGCTATCTTGGGTGCATGAAGTCCAGGACATTGCCCTGTGGTTCTGCCTGCCTTTGGAGCATCATAGAGTGTGAATCCTTAGACGATGTTAGATAATGCCAGGTTCCTTACAAATTGGAAACATTTTTGCTGCGGTTGAAAATGAGAGAAGGATTCTGTTTGTTAACCGAGTTTTTCTAACAAATGACAAATACAGATGTCAAACATGAACGAATTTCAGGAAAGAGGACAGGATAAATCTTCATGCAAATATTTACACATGTGTTCATTTACACCTACAGGAAACAAGCTAAGCAAATCCAAGAGCAGCTGAAAGAGCCACAAAATGGTAAAAACTACAGTCTCAAAGAATCCAGCACAATGTCAAAGTCAGAGAGCCTGATGAAAAGCCACGTGCAGCTGCAAAATGTAAGTGCCCTGTCCATTCCATTCCTCTTCCCATTGTAGCACTCCGGGGCAGGGACATCCAGGATCTAACTAGGATATGTTTTAGCACTTTGTAGTTCTGTGCTTGGATCATCCTTCTTATCTGTGTGTGTGTGTGTGTGTGTGTGTATGCATCTGTTTTTTTTTGCATATATATTGAATGAAACAAAGGACAGTTAAATCTCCCAGCTCCTGTTTGCAATCTGCAATGTAAATTAATCTTTGATAGTAATGCAAACTTCAGCTGTTAGTCCTAGAAACATGTATTGAAACCCAGCATTGGGCGAGGGATAGTATTTGACACCAGGGATATGATACTCCCTGATCTGTGGCAATTAAGAAATGTAGATGCTACAAGAACCCAAGGGAGGGTGCAGCTAAAAGGCGATGGGGCAGCAGGGTTAGGGAAGAGGAGGCTGAGGAGAGGGGAGAAAGCTTGGGTGCGGAGTCAGAGGCAGTCTCTCAGCAGACCGTAACTTGGATTGGATTTTGAAGGACTTGAAAGGTTCATCTGAGAGTCAAAAGGCTAAGAGTGAAAGGCAAGAACAGAGAAAGATTAAACCCACGGAGTGCCAAAAGCGCATGGTATTAGGTTCAGGAAACTCCGAGCTCTTGGGGCGGGAAGAGTCAGGGCTGAGACCTGGGAGATGACCCCATTTTAACCCCAGGCTCAGACTCCAGAAATGAAGTTAAATGAAAATTCTTTTCCTCCTACATCTTTTTGTCGAGCTGTTCTTTTCTTTATTTTTGTATTTAATTAAATGTATTGATAAAGGGAACAAATTTTATCTATTTCATCCATAGAGTTTGTTCTGTTACATAAGGTATCTTTGCTCTTCACTGAGATATATCACAAAACACCAAATTAAAGACAACAGAACACTAATACATGCAGAAATATTCCTTTTGCTCCCACATGAATGTGCTTTCAGATTCTAAAGCACAAAACGAAGGCACATGGACCACGCTATAAACATAGTATTTGGGTATAATAGGCAATCACCCAGGACATATTCACATCCTCCCAAATGCTTCAGTTGCCAAGAATTTATACATCATTTTGTGATTCTGAGAAATCATTCTTCAAAGTCACCATTATGATGCGCATAACAGCTGTACTTAGATGGTTTAATGTGGAATTCACAAACCAGAATTGCTTCCCAGCAAAGTTTTGTTAAACTTTTATTCATTGCAATGTGCAGATTGTTCTTTGCAGAAACAGGAAAAAAAGAAGCTTTTGCTAATGATTTCTAACGAGTATAATCCCATCATTCACTGACCACCACCACCGTGCTGGGGTTTTGATTCTTTAGCAACCGCTCCTGTCAAACCTAAACACAGAGCACTCCAGGGAAAGTGAGGGGGACAGATTTTACTCTCAGTGACACACTCTTGCCTTTGAGAAAGGAAGGCGTTGTGGTTGAGCTTCCACGTGCACAGAGGGGGGTGATTGAGCCTTTGAAAGAGAATGCAGGATCGGAGGGGGCAACTGTAATCCTGGGCAGAGTCAAAGAAGTGAAAATTACAAAGAGGTGGTCAAAAGTAAATGTCATTAGGCTGGTAATGTGTCTGTTAGCTGGCAGGCATGGAAGTTAGGAGTCTACCTTCCTGTGGAGAACTTGGAAGAAACAACTGCACTTCACGGGAATGAGTCTCAGGATCTTAAGAAAGACACTGCTGGGGGTAGCAGCTGTATGCTCCGGGCTGCTGGACTTTTTCAGAGTCTGTCTTCAGCTGTTGGCCAGAGCAAACCTTCAGTTCTTTCTCTCATCTTGTATTTTCATTTTCAGGCAGGCATTTTCAGGAAGGGTAGGGCCATGCTGTGGACACAGCCCTTAACTGTTCGGAACAATGTGAGCATTTGTGCAAGTCTTTTGGTTGGAAAATGGGAAATCAGATGAATGAAATCATTTGTGCTGAAGGTTAGTAGATTTTTTTTTTTTAGGTCAAGGGAAGGTGTTTCTAAATGAGGTCTCAGGGAATCTTGTCAAAAAATTTAGGTCAGCATGGGTGTTGTGATCCAGTGGGTTAAGCCCTGTGTGGGGTGCCCATTCTCGAATCAAGTGTCAGTTTAATCCTGGACCCACTGCTTTTGATCCAGGGTCCTGCAGGTATACTCAGGAAGGTATCAGATGAAAAACCACACGCTTGAATCATGCTATCCACATGCGAAACTGAATAAGATTGCTGAGTTCCTGACTTCTGCTTAGCCAATTGTAGGATCCCATATTGACACCAATTTGTGCCCTTGGGTGCTCCAACTTAGCTCCCAGCTCATGCACCTGGGAAAGCAGTGGAGGATGATCCAAATGCTTGGGTCCCTGTACCCATGTGGGAGACTCAGAGCACACATCTGGCTCCTAACTTTAGTCTGCCCCAACTCTGGCCATTGTGGCGATGATGGGCGTGAACCAGTGGATGTAAGATCTCATTCTGTTTGTCTCTCTGTACTGAAACCAGGAGTGTGGGGTTTTATCTAATGATTAAGCACCAGGGTCTGATGACCTATTCCAGTTCCCAAACCAGCTTCTTTTTCATGTTGGGAAAGGGAAACAACGGTAACTGATCAAGCGATGATCTTGCAGACAGCAGTGTGGCAAAGTGAGTGACGTCACCACCTGTAATGCTTATATCCAGTATGAACACTGCTTTGAGTCCAGGCTGCTCCAGTTCCACTCCAGCAACCTTGTAACATGTCTGGGAACAACAGAATGTGGCCATTGTGCTTGGGACACAGGCATTCATGTGGAAGACCTGGATGGAATTCCCGGCCTTTCAGCCATTTAGGGGGTGAGCCAGTAGATGGAAAAGTTTTCTCTTTCTTTTTGTCTCCTTCCCCTACACATTCTCTCTCTTTCTCTCTCTCTCTCTCTCTCTTTCTGTCATTCAAATAAATCCATTTAAAATTAAATAGATTTCTGCCTCTCTCTGGGGAGTGTTGAGTTGAGTTTCTGGCTCCCAGCCCAGCCTACAGTGTTTGCGTGCATTATAGCAATAAGCAGAAGATGGGAGATTGCTCTCTCTCTTCCCCTATTCCCTTTCTCCCCTTCCCCCATCTCTCCCAAATAAATAAAAAAAAAATGTTAAATGGCTTTGACATCAATGCATAGAAGGAATTTCAAAAACTCAGGAAAGTTTGCATATTATGAAAAAACAGTACTTGGTAAGCTTTGTTTTTATTTCATTTTTCCATCCTCTTAGGTTGAAGGAAAAGGAATTGTAACATTCTGGGTATGGGAGAATAATATGATCAACAGGCTTGAGTCACAAAGTTTATTGTAGTGATGCAAGTGCCTTCTCTCTTAATGAAAGCTGCGAAAAGCCGTCTTCTTCCTGGTACGGGGCAAGAGATTATAAAGGAAAGGTATTTAAGAATCCTGAGAGGGACAAGCATTGTGGCACAGGGAAAAGAACTTCCGCTGGTAGTATCCGCATCTATTATGTGTTGGTTTGAATCTCATGACTTCTTCCAGTCCATCTCCCTGCTAGTTTCCTGGGGGAAAGTAGCAAAGGAAGACCAAATCCACATCCTGCCGAACCAATGTGAGATTCAGGAGGTAACACTGACTCCTGGCTTCTGTCTAGCCTGGTTATTATAGGTGTGAACCAGTGGATGAAACACATCACTCTCCCCATCCCTCTCTGCCTCTTCCTTACTTTCTATAATTCTGCCTTTCAAATAAATAAAATAAACCTTAAGAGAGAAAAACAAGATCCTGAGAAGTACAAAGTACATTGAAGAGAAACATGGAAAAAAATTATTTTAAAAATAGATAAAAAGATAAGTTTACTTTTATGCAAAACTTGAGATCCATGCATAATTTTTTATAATATTCGCTTCTCCCACTTCCCATGCATTGCCAGGTTGGCCGCAGGGTGCTGTATGACTTTTAACAAGACAAGTAGGAATAAATAGATTGCTTTCACAAAGGCATTTATCAATTTCAGCACCTAGAAGGCAATATGGGTCTCTAATAGTTTGCCATACCTTTGTCAACTTCTTTTGGTAATTTAATAATAGGCAATGATATTTGTTTTTAAGTTTGCATTTCTCTGTTTGAGAGTACAGTATAATCTCTAGTCATATATTTCTACTCAGATTTCCTCTTTGCTAAATTATGCGTTGATACCCTTTGCTCACAATTTCATTATAGGAAGCAAATATCAATTTGACTGCAATTCTCCATGCTGTAGGTTTAGAGAAAAAATTGCAAAGAATAGATATTAATAATCCATAGAAATGAACTGAACATTCTAAGACTATTTGCTTTGCTTCAGTGCTATCCTAGAGATGTATAAAGAGAAGTATATAAGACATCTTTGCAATTAAAAGCAGGCAAGACAATTATTCTTCGGGAAAGTAGTAGTCTGGTGTGGCTGAGAGCTTTTCCGCTCCATCACAATGCAAGGGCAGGTGTTTGACCTAGCAGTAAAAATTACTACACCATGCTTGGGTCTCACATCTCAACATGTGGCTTTGACTCCTCACTCTGACTTGTGCAGAATACAGAGGCAATAGAAATGACTCCAGCAGTTGGGTCCCCTCCGCCAGCCGGGCCCAGCAGTCCTGGGTTGTGGTCCCCTCCGCCAGCCTGGCCCAGCAGTCCTGGGTTGTGGTCCCCTCTGCCAGCCCGGCCCAGCAGTCCTGGGTTGTGGTCCCCTCCGCCAGCCCGGCCCAGCAGTCCTGCCTTGTGATCCTCTCCACCAGCAGAGCACAGCAGTCCTGGGTTGTGGTCCCCTCCGCCAGCACAGCAATCCTGGGTTGCATTTCCGCCTCCTGGCTTCCACCTGGACTAGCCCAGCTGTTATGGAGTTGGGTTGGGGTGTGTGGTAATCAGAGGGTGAGAACGCTCTCCTGTTCTCTTTATTTTCTTCTCTCCTTTTCTGTCTCTCTCAAATTACTTTGCCTATTTTACTTATTTACTCTCTCTTTATATGAATGCATATTTATATGTAGAAACAGTCTTTGAGGCCCACCTTGT